CTCGAATTTAATGTTAAATGCGTTAAGAACATTTGAAAAGAAAGTGATAAAAGTATATTTATTAGGATTTAAAATTAACACATAATAATACAGGTAATAATAATAACGTTAGCTGAAGAAGACCAGAGGAATGGTCGAAAATTTCTTCAATTCTTTGTTTTAACGCCTTTTTTATAATTTCAAAAACAAACGTGGATCTATGGCGAGATATATACCGTATATATATATATATATATATATGTATATGTATATATATATATGTATGTATATGTATATATATATATATGTATATGTATATGTATATATATATATGTATATGTATATGTATATAATGAATAAATGTAGTTGGCAATACTAGCAACGTACAGTGCTCGATGCACGTTATAATGCAGAGCGTAAATATTGAAAAATGTAGACTGTTTCATGCTAATGCAATCTTCAGGAGTGAGAGAATACAAGGATTGTGTGAGTATATGAATTCTAAGGCAGGTGAAAATGCAAATGAGTTAATTGTTTTTAAGTAAGTATTTGNNNGTAGGTATTTGTTGCTGTGCCTGCATTTAGACAATAGCTCGGTTCTTTTGTTTAGTATTGACTGTTTGTCTGAATATATTATGTGAAGTTTTTCGGTTATGCATAGGTTGCAGCGTTTTGTTTTTAGGGAGTAAGCTGATGCTCTGTCGATAATAGACCATTTGATATTGTAGGGTGTGTTGCTGTCTTTTAATTTCCATACGTATTTGGAGAGTACAGTGCTGTGTCTGTGTTTGGGGGTGTTAAAAGTGTATTTGTGGTTTGTGTATCGGTTTTTGAACGGTGTGTCGGTGAGCACGATGTAGCATTTTGTGTCATCATTTGAGTGGACAGTGGCTTTGTAGATGATGGATGAGGTGAGGCAATTTCCAGAGAGTGGACATTCATCTTTTTTCCTGCAATTGCAGAGTTTATCTGGCTGTTGTTGCTTACCAACCAGAAGCTGTTTGTTGTGGGCTCTGATTATACTGCCCATGTTTCTTGAGCAGCTATAGCTGACTTTAACATTGTTCTTGTTGAACAGCTTGTGCAAAATGTTGCCACTCGGAAAATGTTTCTTTACGAGGTTAAGGAATGATTTTTCGATGTTGGTTTTAACTCCTTTGCTGAATGGTGGGTTGTACCAGATTATTTGTCTGCTTCCATTA